TGATGAAGATCTACCTGAAGGACCACCCCCTGCAGGCAGTGATTTAGGTAAGTGTCAACGGTAATATTTTCTTTTCTTCTATAATGCTATGATTCCACAAAATGCTATCCACCTGTAAACAGTGAGTAGTCTTTCACCTCTTCCCTAATTTGGGATAACTCTTTTTTTAATTTTAATGAAATACCGGATAGAGTACTTTCTCTTCTTTTTTCTATTAATTTAAAAAGTCTATTAAAAAACTTTTAGCTCTGTTCCCTTCGAGCAGTTCTCATCATTCACCCTTTCGGGGTCTCCTTTTCTGTCAAAAGGTGAAAAACAACGGTTATTATTAACTCAACTAATATTTTAGACACAGAGCAAATACAATTATACCAAGCACAATATGTAAAAATATAAATGGCTAACACCTGTGTCTGATTGGCAGAGAGGCAGCTTCGCGATTCTATGTTTTCTCCAGAGAACGTCTGTAGCAACTCTACATATATATATGTATAATTATATATGGATATATAATTATATATGATATGTGGAAACGACGAAAAATTAACCTACACTTAACGCAAGAAACCTGTAACTCACACCGTACAGAACAGCCGCAAGAACAGACAAAGAAACATAATTTGGTTTAATCCGCCCTACAGCATGAACGTACAAACAAACATCGACAGAGAGTTTCTGAACCTCGTCAGTAAACATTTTCCGAAAGCCACAGGTACACCAAGACTTTCAACAAAAACAACATAAAAGTTAGTTATAGCTGCACAGACAACCTACAAACCATAATTAAGAAACACAACAGAAAAATCCTCGAGAGAAGCAAGACACCCTCCACAGAAAACAACTGTAACTGCAGAAAAAAAAACGACTGCCCTCTGAAAAACAACTAAGTATTCAAAGTTTTGTCGGCGGCGATGAGTAGCTTCAAAAATTAGAGTAGCTTCAAAAATTAGATTAAAAACGAAACGAAGCTACTCATCGCCGCCGACAAAACCACGAACTTCTACAAGCTAGAACCATCCGCATACAACGACCTTCTCGAACAGAACATCACCAAGTCCTACAAAAAAGCACAACCTGACACCGTACAAGCCATCCACGCAGAAAACAAAAACATCACAACATCATTGTTCCTTCTGGGTTCTTCGCAGTCTGCTCTTGGACTTGGTTGTGAATAAAATGAAGCAGACGCAGTTGTTAAACAATATAAAAAAAAGTATTTGAAGAGATTGCACACAGCTCTTCACACGATGTAAGGGCTTAGTTCAGGCTTGAATAAAATGAAGCATATGCAGTTGTTAAACTCAATAAAAAAAATTCTTAAAAGAGATTGCGCACAGCTCTTCACACGATGTACGTGCTTAGTTAGGCTATAGTCCATTTAGGAAGCCATGTTATCCACAATAAGATTTAAACTTGTCTACGGGTCTTGTAGCCGCAGTGTAGTCTCTTTTATTAAATCCTCGGTTCAGAAAACCTCATCACGTGAGCTTAGACTGACTAATCCTTCCAAATTTTGTAAGAAAATGGTTAAAACCCCTTTCATTTCTTTCTCTGACGGTGTTTCGCCGTGGCGAGGTCAACACTTGGGCCAGGCACGCAATGTATCGTAAGACCAAAAATGAATTCGCAACATGTTGAAAATTAATTCATAAAACCGTAAAGAATAAATCTCTACACCGCGAAAGATAATTCTCAGTGCCAGAGCAAAGAAAAAAAAGAAAACAATTACCCGTTGAAGTGCTACTTGTAAAAAATAATTCATAATCAGGTGAAAAATAATTCGCAGTGTAAGTTAAAAAGAAATAAGAATAACTTAAGAAAAACAATAATGATTTAAATTAAAGGAACCAGAACGGGCCTTCATAAAATAGACCGTTCAAGAACAAAAAAACGAACGAATTTCTCGTTTTGTCAACTCAAAAGCTAATTTCGTCGCATCAAATTGTCCGGTACTTTGAGCTCTTGTTGTGAGTCACTTAAAGATTGAGAGTTACATTGGCATGATCAAAAGTGTGAGAAACAGGGTCCGGCAATCCGAAAATTGTGTGAGTATTAAGCAAGTGCTGTAAATGAGAAAGAACAAGAACCATTTAAGGTGAGATCGATGGCTGTGGTCAAGAAATATAACACTTTTTTTTTTTTAATTAGAATGTAAGTGTGGGATTCGTGCACGATGTGATGCTCTGCACTGGTTACATATACGAAAGTCAAGCACGAATTACAGGAGGGCCTATGTTGGTGTTTGCACGTGACACTAATAACACTGGAACGTAAAATTATGATAAGTGTAACAAGTAAGAGCGAATTGAAATTTCTGAGCATGTCATTTGTATTTTCATTTTTCTTTTTTTCCGGTTCTTTTATATTTAGAATGAAAAACATTGACATAACTGTAAAGTCTTTTCAAACAAAAGTGCACAAAGTAAAATTTACACGCGCTTTAATTGGCGGCGAGTGTCAAATGATCGAAGAAGTAGATAAATTGAAACGGAAATTTACAATCATAAAAGTTTAGAATTCAAGGAACCAAAGAAAAAAAAAGAATGAAATTGACGAGTAACACGTAAATTTGTTACTGGGTTACTTAAAGAGCATTGGATGCGACTTCAAGCGTGATTTACGTATGAACTTCTCATTTCTCGAGTGAGAGAAATCTAAGTTAGAAACTACTCTATTGTATCTTTGAATACGCGTGATCTTCTCGTGAGGCGTGGACTTCTCGCGAAACACGGAACCTGAAAGTTGTTTGATAGGGTTCATACTTGAGACGGTCACCATCGAAAACAGAGACTTGAGATTGGGTACGAGAATTTTTCTTTTGCTGTATGGCAAGAATTTCAACGATTTTGTTCAGCTGGTGATGAAGTTGAAGCACTTCGTGAGAGGCTCTTTTCCTGGGTGAGGAAAGCACTTGACATGTATCTGTAACAGGTGCCAGTCGGTTGTGTCCAGGTTGAAATTGGGACGAGCGTACTGTCTAAATGGAAATGAGGAGGCTACACGAGGTTTCACATTCAAAGTAGACAAAGTGCAGATTAGGTGCCATCACTTTGTGATCGAAATGAACTGTAGGACCAACGGGTTCTGTAACGGAGGTAAAGATTCGCTGTAAGGCTTGAGATTTAGAAACTTCATTTTCGAGAGTTAGGTGTTATTTTCTTTGCTAAATATGAAATTTCTGCTGCTATTGGGAGTGCCGTTCCTAGAAAAACGACACTTCAAGTCTTGATTCTGCGACTCGTGTAGGTTTTCTTGGCTCTAGTCGTTGATGTAGACGATATATTATTCATACGTGAACCACTGCGATGACGAAAATGTCATTTTCTACTTGAAATTCGAGAAGAACCAATCTGAGGGGCTAAATCCTCAGGCGGTAGCTAAGCGCAGAACTGCGCTGCTTTTTGTTTTCTTCAGATCCGCTTTTGAAGCCCCCGGCAGAAGTCGTCTTTGCGTGCAGATTCTCGATGGAAGTGGTGGTAGCAGCTAAGAATATTTGACTCATCGGTAATATGGGATAAATATATAAAATGCTTTTCTGTATATGATTCATAGACCACAACGTACTTGGGTATCTTATTCTTTACGATGGTTACGTTTCCTTCGTCTGTATTTTTAAAATTTTTTTTGTATTCACCATCGAAAGATATCTAGATCATAAATTGTTTAGATCGGAGAGGTCTTCGACGCTTATTTCACCGCGCTCTTCGGTGGGCACGAAAGCTTCACGCACGGAACAACTAAACTTTAACGACGTACTTTTCTCAAAGGTAGCCGCGTTCAGCAAGTAAAATTTACACGCTCTTTATTTGATGTTCTGGCTTGTAAATTGAAAAATCTATCAGATTTCACGCTTGACAAAAATTTGTCCTGCTTCGAAGCATGAGAACAATGACTTTCGAGACTGATATTTGGTAGGATTTAAAATTACCGAGCGCTCTTGTTTCACAAAAGAGATGACCGATTTTTCTGTAAAATGAACTAAATTTGCCTAGTGCAACTGGGCCCTTATACGTGGTGTTTGCTTCTTAAAGACTTGCAAATTAGAGAATGTAACGTCTCTATTTAGATTGTATTCGTCGTTTTAAATGAATGATTTGTGTTGAAATGATTCGATTTTATCAGGCAGAGGGCATGCGACACTAAAAGCAATTTACATGGTTATATTGGCAAAAATGTGTCACCTGACAAGGCAATTGGTAGTGCTAGACCGGCTTGTTGCTGGGGGAATATTGGTGAACACTAGTCCCCTAGTAACGAAGTTGTTGCCAAGGGAGAACTACCGTACTGCGCAGCCGATTTGTTGCAGCGAATGGCCGAAACATACTACGGGCATTGTTATCATTGCAATCATTGTAAAGTTATAAAGTTGAACATAAAGTAACACAAAAGGAAATTTAAAGTACTTAGTGTTAAGGCCAGATCGCACTACACCTTTGTTTGTTTGTTTAAGTAAAAAAATCAGCAAAGATAGAATGGGTATAACCCCCAATTTGAAAAAGTTGCTAACTCTTTTGTACGTTCCCAATTTTTTGCCAATCTTGAAAGGAAAACCGTTCCTGCGCAGTACTGATTCGCACGAGATCTTTTCATAGCATAGCTTCACAAAACCCTACGCTATGATTGGTCAATTTGCTCAATTCATTTGCCTGTGTGTAGCATGCTGACGTAAGCTTGTTTTGCATTTTTTTTTCCTTCACGAATCGAAAGACTTTTGAAACTCTCAATGATTGAAACCCTCAAGAAGCTAGAACCGCACTTGGCTATTGCCTTGTGCGACTTTTACGCTTCTTTTGAGCTTAGCAACCTCATATGTGTATCCCTGACTCAACAGTTGCAAACTGTAAGCGAACCATCTCTTGATTAATAAATCTTTGGATTTATTACTGTAATGTGACTGCTGCAAATTTCTAAAGTGCAAAATTTTTTGGCAAGCTTTGACTCGCAAAAAATTGCAAAATTTTTACTTTACTCATGTATAACGTCCTATTTTTACGGTACATCATAATAAATAATATAGTGAACTGGAACGTGAATGGCTGTCAAGGACCAACATTATTTTGGTATTTATCTTCTTCTGACGCCATGAGCCAACTTTTGTTGCTGAAAGAGAAAGTAATCAAGTGATGAAGAGCTTACAGCTGTATTTGGTTGGTGATCATTTCCTTCATTCTCATGACCTTCCTGTGTGATTTATGGATGACAATGTAAGGAGAAATTAGATGCCAGTCACTCTTTGGGGTCAAAGGCTTAATTACCACTGAACTTGTATTCTTGGCTATTATTTAAAAAATTGTGTATTACATTTTGTGTTAACACTGGTGTTTCTGTCAATGTTTATCGCGTAAATCGTAAATACTTAAACCTTTTACCTAAAATAGTACAAATTTTTAAAGCAATTGTCGGACTCATTTGATGGGTTTCAACTAGATCCTTCTTCAGAATGAACAAGTATTTAAATTTCCAATTCGAAAAACTCTTTGTGACTTGTGTATGTCAAGAGAAATGGCAGAAAGTTTGTTGTGTGACCACAGGTATCCCAAGGTCAGGTCTCCGAAAAAAGCAAGCAATTAATTCATGAAAGACTAGTGTCATGCGTTGTGTGACCTAGTGTTAAGTTACAAGAGGAACCGTTGAGAATTTGAAAATAAAATGAAGCAGAATCTTACTTGTTTATTTATCTTCAGCTTCATTTGAATCAGATATTGTCAACACTTTTTCAACGTTTGATGTGGCAAACTGTAGGAAAAGAAGTCATTAACAGGAGTGCATCAGAAGGAGTACATGATATATAAAGTGAGCATGGAACTTCACAAAGGTGTGTGAGGTGTAAAATGCAAATTTTTGTTTGTGTTTTGACTATCAATGGTAATTGCTTTTCTTGTCTAATTGTAGTTGTCATTGAATTTAATTATAATAAACTATATGAGTTGAAACCTACTGTTTTGCACACCTCCAAAAAATTATCAACAAAGACTCTGTTTTGTTGTGAGTTCTGTGAAATATAGGAGAGATAATTTGTTTCTAAAATGATGTGATCCACCTTAACCCTTCAACCACTAAGAGTGACTAACATCTAATTTCTCCTAACAACATCACCCTTGAACCAAACATTTAGGTCATGAGAATAAAGGAAATGATCATTAACTAAAGAGGCTACTGATTGTTGAACAAATTCTCCTTGTCAGAACCCTGGGAAATGTCTAAGGAGTAGTATGGAGAATATTCATACTGATCTTAAGGAGGAAAGGGTTAAATGTCTGTAGTTGACAAGACCTACAGAGGAAACTTGTTTTTTAGATATGATTTGTAATGTTAATGTATAATCTTTTGATTAAGGTGTTATACTGCCCTGAATTAGGTTTTTCACTAAACCAAAAGTTCACTTTGGGTTTTAAAGAATTTTGTTAGTTCCCTTTAACTCCCATGATCCAGTGACCAAGACACAGTTTCTCCTTACAATATCAATGCCATACAAGGCAGACAAGTAATGAGAATAAAGACAAATATTGATCAGGGGATTATTAGTTGATCCAATACCAAATTCCTCAAACTAACATCACAAGAACTGTATGGCAGACAGTAAGGAGAATTTCTAATGAGATCTTGGGAGTTAAAGGGTTAAGATCTGTACCACAGGGTGTGAAATGAGTCAGGCATTAAATCTCATCAATTGGAACATTTTGATTTAATGTATTTGATCCACTCTCTATACAGGTATAGTGTTACAAGTGTGGAGAAGTTCTAAGGTCCAGACAAATGCTATGATGGTGATAAGGAAGCAATATGCATTGTATTTTCTATTTGAATTATTTGAAAAGTGTTACCATAATTTAGCTTTAATGGTAATGTTCAATTCTAGGAATCAATTTAAAAATTCCACTTACCATGGCTGGTGATTGGCATAACAGATTGCCAATGGAATTGAGTTGGGTGTTGAAGGTCATCAATAAATTCTGAATCATTACTATTAATGATTCCCTAAGTTTCCTCAAATTGATCTAGAAATGAATTGAAAGAATTTGATAAGTTATATTTATTTTGTTAGCTGATTATTGATAGACAAGTAAAAGATAGTTGCTGCAGAAGTTGAAGGAAAGATTAAAAAGTATGGGGTAATGAAGGAACAAGATATTCTTTTAAAAGTTTTCATATAAAGGCTAAAGGAGACCTTAAAGGGATTTATTCATTTAATATATACAGTATTAATGTTTTTCAAGTCAAACTAAAAATTTCTATATTTTTAACTTTAGTTTTGAAGGGAAACTTTTTCAAAATATTGAAATGTGCATGATTTTTTTAACAGTAAGGTATTTTTGAACAGAATTGCTTGGTCAGTGATGGTATGATGGCTAGTACAATGTCAACACTAGTGAGTCCTGACATGTTTTTTGTGATTTTGATGTAGTTAGTCTCATTATGTAGAAGAAATATTTAAAAGGGAATACACTTACTTTCTCTCAGGATTCTATGCCATCTGTGGCATATGGTAATTTAAAAGCTATTTTATAAAGTTCTATATTCTTACATTGTAATTGTGCGTTTCTTCTCCTCATTACAGCTTGTGTAGCAAGTTCTGCCAAAGAAAAAAATGCATTCAAGTCTGAGTACTTAAGTTAAGTTTCTTTTCAACACAAGTTTCAGTTGACAGACATTTTGCAGATTTTTTGGATGTTTGGTTTGCTGTGATCGGGTTAATGGATGTTTTGTGTTATGTGCAAGTAAGGAACTGTGAATTGAAATGTATGCTTATCCTGTTAGGATTGATAAGATTTGATCACATTTCATAAGCTGGGTATGGTAAATAAATATGTATCAGTCAATTTGGAGATTCAACATCCCCCTATCACAGCAACCCCATCAGGCATTTGAAGTTTTAGAGATTAGTTTGTTCCTGGGGCCAAAGTATTGTTCAAATTCCCTACTCAAAGTGTTGGATTTAATTATCAATTTTTTTGTAAAAGGCAAAATCAGTGATTATAACATTCTATTCACTAACATATGCTGGGAGCATTTTGTGCCAAAAAATCAATGTCAACACTTTTAAATATTTGATGCAAAAATACAAGTGATTAGGGTTCATGAGAATGACAAGTAAATTTATTAACAAATACAATTTGTTGCTAGCAGTAGTTAGAGGGTTTTAGCACTTTAGTTCTTCTTTTGAGCATAAATGACTTTCCATCATGACTAAGGTTTTAATCATTATGCTAAACTTTGCAGACTTTTTTTTTCTGAGTTGCCCCAGGTTGCCCAGGTTGAAAGGCAGATTTTAAAGGTTTGAATTTATTGGTGCATTACCTCTGTTCCTATCTGCTGTGTGGTTGTTTGGTGTTCATTTGTGCTACAACATTGGTAGTAGATTCTGTAAAACAGTAAATTAGTCAGTGATATCAATTCAATGTCAAAAAGATGATAAAGGAAATAAAATAAAACATTAATTGCAGCATAATTAGTTAATTGAATACAAAATAATTATTCTCCAACAAACTAAGATTGTTATTTTCTTGCACATAACTTCCAACATATTTTGTAACAAAATGTGAGATATATGCAGTCAGTAATAATAAAATGGACAACCATATTTGTGGCATATTACATGGTGCATTTAATCATTAGAAAGTTAATTTGTGATGTAAATAGAAAATTTATGGTGAAAAGGGGATTTTAAAGTTTTTAATTTATTGGTGCATTACTGTTTTCAACCTTATTCATACATGGCTTATTATATAGTTCATTATTATAGTAAACACAGAAAAAGAGACACTTCTTGGTGAGAAAACAAAAGTTATTATATTTCATGTATTTTTTTCAAATGGCAACATTTCAAAACAGGTGTGTATATGTATAGTTTTATGTATATGTATATGTATATGTATATGTGTATGTGTATGTATATATGTATGTATATACTTTATGTATATGCATATACATGTATATATCTAGTTATATCTGAGTGTATTCACCAAAACAGACCCAAAAAAACAACAAACTCAAAGTGAATATCACAGAAAAAAAACTTTCAAAATTGAACATTTTAACCCCACCCCACCCCCAGCCAAAATGATTAAGTGCATGAGAAGTGATGCCATGAAGTATGAGTCTGACTCTGAATTAATGGACAAAGTAATTAAAACAAATCCAGCATCGTAACAACTCAGTCAAAAACCGACTCTACCCAATTTGCAGACAAAGTCATTTACAACCCTGGAAAGGTTGGTGGCTGGGTTGCATTTGGTTACTAGCTCTGACATTAAAAAAAAAAATTAAAATCAATATGCTTAATTTGAGATTGCCCTTTCTGTAATTACACAATGAAATAACGGATAGAGTATTTTCTCCACTTATTCTATTTGTTTATCCAGCTAAAAGTCTCTAAGGTCTGTTTACTTCGAGATATTCTCATCTTTTTTCCTGTGACAAACGTAAAAAACAATTATAAATAACACAATCAACATTTCTTAAATAAAGCAAATACAGTTATACCAGGCGTAATATGTAGGCAAATGTACACTTGTATCTGATTGGCAGAGAGACGCTTTCGAAATTCTATATTTTACACCTAACTGGGAGAATAAATTGTTACTCTTTGAAAGAAACAAAAAAAAGTTATAAAACTAGCCTTGATATTCAAGGTGACAAAGGATAACTGCCGACAGTCAGCGAACAGTAAGTCATAGCCACCTTCACATTTAATTTAACTTTAATTTATAAAATACCTGTTCTCATCAAGTCTTACCTCTGCTTGTCAAACTCGAGCCTCACATCTCCAATCAGCGTAAACGAAGCCCACTCAGACCCTTCGCTTAAGCCATTTTTCCTCATCCACCTCATGGCCTGATGAAGGGATTCACTGGCACTTTCTCCTTCAACAAGGTGTTTGTAGAACTGACTCATCAGCTTCTCTGTTGCTTTGTCTGAAATGGCCCACAGCGCAGCCAACACCGAGCGAGCACCGGATCCTAAAAACGCACGGGCAATTCCTATAACTCCCTCGGCTCTTATCTCTCCACTTCCACTGTGACAGCAGCTAAGTACCACCAGTTTAGCTCTGACTTTCACTCGTGAGACATCAGCCATCGTCAACATGTAATCTTCCTTTGGTTGGGTAGCGTTTCCACTGTTGGAAGTAGGAACGGGGGAGAGAGCAATTTCTCCCCTTTCGGCGTCACCATGGGCAGCAAAATGTATCAGGCTCACTGAACTTATCCGCTCAAGCACCGCCTGCCTCGTTGCTTTCTCTCCTACTAGAGGCGGAACACCCACCAGTCGTCCGACCATCTCCGCTTCCTTTCTTGCACCTGGCAATGGTGGCAGCCAATCAACCTTGGGATTGCCTATTATCAAGGCATCAGTGTTGCTGTGATAGTCCTGTGGACTATCTCGAATGATCTTGAGTGTTGTCAAAGAAGGAATGACACGGATCCTATGAGTCTCCGACAGGTATTCGGCTCCCTCCTTTTCACTCAGGGCAGCAAAGGGAACTTTGTACAAACTGCGGTCAGGAACAATAATGACTTCAGGCTCCTCAAGGAAATCATAAACAGGGGCAATAAACATTTTGTAACACAAAGATAGACTTGAAATGACCTCCTTGTCCTCGTCCTCCTCCACGAGTCGCATTCTTGCTAGGCTCTTTTGTTCGGGGGAGAGAGGTTCCAATTCAACCATATTTAAAGACCGATCTTCACAATCTTCAGTGGGCAAAATACCAAGACTCCGGAAACTATCAGCCAAAAACTCACACAGAGGCAAACCTTTGGGCAACCCAGCCTGAACTAGATTCTCTTCTAGTAATCTTTTATAGTGAAGGACTCCACTTGTTTTCAAGATCCACAAATGCAGAACATTGTGAAAATAAGAAATGTACAAACAAGCACAGTTATTTTTCTTTCTAAAACTGTTTTCAATAGCAAACCAAGATTGTGGATGAGCAGAAATCTGCGTTTCAAGCGAGCACTTCTCTGTCATCAAGTCTGATAGACCTCTCGCTCGACCCAACTCCTCAACATAAAGAGCTTCAAGAGCATTTCCGGTGTCACAAAGCAGAGTACTAAGTTGCTTGTAGGGAAATATTCCCGAGTGCTCCAGAAGTGATGTTTTGAACTCATCATTGGCCCCCAAGAAATATCTCAGCTCCTCGTACTTTTCAATGCACAAATGAAGACATACAAGGGAGTCTTTGATTTTATTTTGAAATGAATACAAAAGGGCGTAATATTGAAGGATTCGGAACTCTTGTCTTCTATCTCCAATATTTCTGGATATGGATAAAGCTTTCTCCAAGCATACTTCCGAAACTTCATAATTTCCAACAATTGCAGAGAGATGTCGAAGGTTTGCAAGATGTGATGCTTCCCCTTTCTTATCACCAATATCAATTCCGATGATAAGCGCTTTGTGGAGATACTCTTTAGCCTTGTCGTATTCTCCGAGCGACTGAAACACAGTACTTAGGGTTGCATAACATGCTCCTTCTCCTTTTCTGTCGCCAATTTCAGTTGTGATGACAAGCGCTTTGTGGAGATACTCTCTAGCCTTGCCGTATTGTCCGAGCGACTGAAACACTTTCAGCTTTTCAGCTGTGATGACAAGCGCTTTTTCGAGATACTCTTTAGCCTTGTCGTATTCTCCGAGCGACAAGGACACAATACCTAGGTTTCCGTAGTCAGTTGCCTCTCCTTTTCTGTCGCCAATTTCAGTTGTGATGACAAGCGCTTTGTAGAGATACTCTTTAGCCTTGTCGTATTCTCCGAGCAACTGAAACACATTACTCAGGTTTCCATAACATGCTCCTTCTCCATTTTTGTCGCCAATTTCAGTTGTGATCACAAGCGCTTTTTCGAGATAACCTTTAGCCTTGCCTTATTGCCCGAACGACTGAAAGACAGTAGCTAGCTTTACATAACATTCTCCTTGTCCTTTTCTGTCGCCAATTTCAGTTGTGATGACAAGCGCTTTGTGGATATACTCTTTAGCCTTGTGGTATTCTCCGAGCGACTTAAACACAGCACTTAGGTTTGCACAACACGCTCCTTCTCCTTTTCTGTCGCCAATTTCAGTTGTGATGACAAGCGCTTTGTAGAGATACTGTTTAGCCTTGTCGTATTCTCCGAGCGACTGAAACACAGTAGGTGTTTTAGGTTTGCATAACATGCTCCTTCTCCATTTCTGTCGCCAATTTCAGTTGTGATGACAAGCGCTTTGTAGAGATACTCTTTAGCCTTGTCGTATTCTCCGAGCGACTGAAACACATTACCTAGGTTTGCATAACATGCTCCTTCTCCATTTCTGTCGCCAATTTCAGTTGTGATGACAAGCGCTTTGTGGAGATACTCTTTAGCCTTGTCGTATTCTCCGAGCGACTGAAACACAGTACTTAGGTTTGCATAACATGCTCCTTCTCCATTTCTGTCGCCAATTTCAGTTGTGATGACAAGCGCTTTGTAGAGATACTCTTAAGCCTTGTCGTATTCTCCGAGCGACTGAAACACATTACCTAG